CGCCGCGTGAAGCACCGAAAAGCTTGACGTGTGATTGCTTTATTCAAAGGCTGGAGGGGGCCGCGGTATGGTCGCAGCCGGACTTGGCTCAATGGCCACTTCGAGACCTTCACATGGCCAGCTTCTTGTAGTCGACCAGCTCCCTCCGTTCCAGGCGGATCCACTTGTTTTTGTCCTCCGCAGGAGGCTTTGATCCCGCGGCGTAGAAGCACGTGAGCTCGACGCCGCGCGGATTCGGCTGCCGGTTGCGCTCCTCCGTCGTCTGGGGCCGCTTCATCGTGGCCGACATGATTCCGAGCTGGACGTCTGCATAGTCGCGGATCCTGTTCGGCACCGACTGGGCGAACGAGGTTGAAGCGGAGGCGTCGGCCTTGGCGATCGCTGCCTGTTCAGGCGTCTTGCCCTTTTGCTCTCGATCGACCGTGCCGTACTGCGCCTTGATCTGGAGCACTCTCTTGCCGATCACGCGCGTCAGGGCTGCCGAGTGCGGGTCGTGTGGCGTTGCGAGGGCCTCCCGAGCGGCGAGCGCCTCGAGCTGCCGCGCGGTCACGACCAACGGGAGCGCCTGCCCGTCGAGCAGCTGCCGCGCGCAGCGGATCCAGAGGTTGTTTTTCGCCACCGCGAGCGCCTGCTCCTCGGTGATGTCGGGCGAAGAGTACTTGTCGTAGCCCTCGAAGGCCTTGAACGACTTTTCGCGCGGCGCAGGCTTGCCGCTCTTCGACTTCTTCTTCGGCGGCGCCTTCGGCGGCTTCGACGTGCTTTTCCTGGGCTTCCTGACCTTGGCTGCCGACGCAGGTTGACCGAGGATCGTCTGCGCGAGCTTGGGTTTCGAAGAAGCGCCGACAGGCCCACCGGATCTTGAGCCCGAAGAGGAAGCTGCAGGTGAAGCGATCGGCGTTTTCTGCGGCGCCGCAGCCAGGCGCGAGGAGGAGCGGGTCGCCATCTTCGGCGCGGAGGCCGCGACGCGTGCCGACCGGCTGCGGCGAGGGAGATCGCTCCCCTGCGATGCTTCGATCGCCGATTCCTCGAGCACCGCTGCCGGCGCCTCGCTCGTCTGCGGAACACCTGCGTCGAACGGGGCACCGAACTCGTCGTCTGTCTCGGAGCCGGCGTCGGTGAAGTCGCAGCGGTCGACATCTTCGGCTCCAGCAATTCGGGGCACCTCCAGATCGAACCCAGCACCCTCTTTCTCGGACGGCGCTCCGAAGTCGTCATCGGTCTCGGATCCGGCATCGGTGAACTCGCAGCCGTCGGTGTCCCCCGTGCCGGTGACATCGGCCGCAGCCCGATCGAACGCAACGCGGAGGATCGCGGTCTCCGCGAGGCTTTCGGCGTCCGCGAGGCTGCTCGCTTCCCCTGCGGTGCTTGAGGCGTATCCGAATCCGCCTGCGTCGGCCAGGCTCGTCGAATCGGCCCAGCTCGCACCGTCGTCGAGGCTTTCGACGTCGCCTGCCGCTTCACTCGTCTGCTGCTCTTGTTCGGACCCGTCGGGTGCTTCGGCATCGTCGGCGGCGCTGGCTGCGTTTTCGGCCTCCCATGCGGCCAAGTCCGCGGCATCCTTCGCGAGGATCTCGGCCAGACGGCGCTGCATCGTCTTGCACTTGTACTTGGTGTGCAGCGGGTGCTTCGAGTGCTTCCCGGAGAGCTCCTTGGAGATGTCCTCGACGTCCTCCTTCCGCACGCACGAGCCGCAGCACACCATGGCTTCAGCGTGATGCTAACGTACGAATGGTGCCTGGCGAGCGCGAGGAGTTCATCGTAGGAAAGGGTGAGCAGCTCCTCCGCGCTGATGTTGCCCTCGACGAAGTGCTTGACGATCTTGTATCCCTCCAGGTCTCCCATCTCCTTCTTTGCGCGACGCTCGCGCAGGCGGTCCTTTTCGCGGCTGCTGAGCGAATCGAAGTGCGGGATCTCCTGCGCCAGCTTGCGGCTGAGGAAGGTCGCGAACGCCTTGTCGGCGATCGCCTGGCGCTCTGCAGCCGCCTTCACCTCGTCGTCGGACATCAGGCAGACTTGTGGCGCCTCGGGATCCGCGGCAGCCGGAGAAGCCGCAGCGGCGGCGGTCGCCACCTGCTCCTCGCCGGAAGGACCGTCGGACGGAACCGGAAGTCCGAGGACGTTCCGGCTGTCGATGGACTTGAGCTTCTTGGCGACCCGAGGATCGAGCTCGGCGGCATCGAGCTGCGACCGGTACTCGGACACCTTGCGCTTGAGGGAGGCCGGCTCTGGCGTGGGATGGCATCAGCTTCCGTGTAGCCGGGCTCCAACGACGTCGAATCCCACCCTTGCCCTTGCTCTTGCTCGCGTTTCCGTCGCCCGATCGCTCCCTTTCCCTGTCCATCGCGGACTTGACGGCGGCGATCTTTTCGCGGAAACTTTCGGCGAGCGGATCGAGGATCTTTTCCTTGACGTAGACGTACGTCTCCTTGAGGTCGAGCTGCTCGGGCGGGAGGCCTTCGAGGTATTTGTGCGCCACGACCAAGGCCGTCTTCTTGGCGTCGTGGAGGTCGTTGAGCGCCATGGTCACGGCGTCATTGTGGCGGTTGAATGCTCCGAAATCGCAGCGGGTGACGGCCAAGGCAAACACCTCGTCCGAGAGCCGGATGACCCAGGACATTGCCAACGAGTCGAGGAAGGGCCCCGGGGGCTTGGTGATGGTCGTCAGCGGCCCGTGATCGCCCGCGAAGCACAAGATCCGCTTCTTCTTTTCGAGCGCGAGATTCTTGATCTGCTCTTCGTATGCCATGAGCTCCTCGCGGGAGAGCTCGGCGGCCCGCTTCTTGAAGTCGGCTGACTCGAAGTCCCAGAACAAGTTCGCTAGATCTGTGTTTTCGCGGGCAATATGGAAGGCTGCAGACTTCGAGATCGTCGCTTCCCGCTCCAGATCGACGACGTGCAGCTCTTTCGCTTGCTTCACGAGCCGAGGAGCAGCACTTCCGACCGCGAGGACGAGGGGGAGCTCCACTCCTTCGTGCTTCCACTCGCGCAGCTGCTCGTGCCGCAGGACCCCGAAACACGAGCGGTTCAGGATCGGGTCCGGGCCGTCGGAGTACAGAATCTTGCCCAGCGCGATGTTGGCGATCTCGATCAGGGATCTCTCACGGGGGTCGAAGATTTGAACAGCGAGGGCTTTGTACTCGGGGGCCGGCTTGGCGGGATGGAGAACAGTCAGAAGACGCGAACAAACCCGTCGCAGCGAGCGTACCCTTTTCGATCGCTTCTTCCAGATAATCCTGCTTCGTTTGGTCCCGGCCCTCCATGTCCTGGCTCGTGTCGCCGACGTAGTCCGCGCCCCGTCCCAGTCGTAACAGCGCTCCTTCAGCAGCCGGTAGTAAACGAGGCATTCGTCGCCTTTGCCGGGCTCGAACACGCCCTCGACGACGATTTCGGGGGGAGAGGAGGCGAAGTTGACGCGCAGACGGGTTCGCGAGTGGGCGATATCGAACGCCTCGCGGAAGATGCCGGTCCGAAACCCGTTCCTGCGCTCGTAGTCCTTGATGCGCTGCTGTAGGCGTGAATCATCGTAGGGATTCGACCCCATCCTGCCCCTGATTGGGGTCAGAATTCTGCGAGAAAGAGAAGGAGGCGCCGATCACGCCGAAGGCGTCGGACAGGGCGATCGGCGAACCTTTCCGGATTGAACCTCATGATCTCTTGAGAAAGACATTTGATTTTGCTTTCCAGATGCTTACAGATGTTCTGTTGAACTAAGCTTCGCGTGACGGCCACGGGACTCCGGACAAGTACGATCATCGACGCTCTCCTAATCGATTCAAATGGATGGATGATCGGTACGACGAAGAAAGGTGCTGGATGAGCGCTACGACGAATCGGATCCCGTGTAGCTGAGGAAGGCTCACCTCAACTTGTCGATGTGTTGGAAAGCCGCCAGATCAGAAGACCAAAGGTAGGCAAAGCCGCCAGATTTCGAATCAAGTCAGCATAAGTTGGTCGCATGGTCGTGACGCTGACTTGGCACAAGACTAGGGAGCTTCGGAACGCTTTAAACAGGGCCTGGGGCAACAGGGATGCCAAAGAGACAAAATGAACACCTCCGACGCGACCTCCGACGCGGAGACGTGGCCCCCGGATCTCCTCAGACACTGCCGCGAGAGCCATCTGCTTGGTCGAGTCGAAAGAAGCCGAAGAATAAGGGCCTGAAGTCCGAGCGACGTCACCGCTGCCACTTCCACGTGCGGATCGCCGTTGCAGGCCCAGAGGACTCCAACGTGGGGAAAAGAGGGCCACTTTCGAGCAAACACGTTGTTCTAGCTATTATTGACGAAACTCGGCGGCCTTTGAACCTGATTCAGACTTCACGTGTTCAGTCGGTGGCCTTCTTTCCAATGGCGACACGGTTTCCAGCTCCATGTTCCGTGTCCAGACGGCGAGGCCGTCGTAAAAGAAAGCCAAGCAAGTTTGTCAAGGTAGGCAAGCCGGCAGTCGCAGGCCCTGTGAAGTTCCGGGCGGGATTCGGCGTGCCCGTGCAGGAACCGCAGTCCGCGAGCCAGCTTTCAACGAAGCCGCAGCCAAACACCGTGAAAGACGTAGCGTCCGATGCTCAACGGCCACAGACTGAAGGTGGCCGTCCCGAACTTTGACGCCGGTGACCTTGGATCCGACTCCACGGTGTGTGCCGGAACCGCCCGCCAGCGCCGACAGTGCCGTGGAACAGTAGCCGAGCGGCATGACCATGACCATGTCGTGCTGTCCTGGCCTGCCTCAAGGCCGGGTTCTTCCAGCGTCCGCTCGAAGGAGACATCGTGCGTCGCCCTCGCTGCCTCCGTTAACGCCTCGTGCGACCTTCGCCCGCCGCGAACAACTCTGCCACCCCTGAAAGACCGAAACGGCTACGGTCAGATTTCATCAGATACAATTCTCTCAGGAGCATCCTTGAAAGATGGCGGCGACCGGCGGTCGAAAAAGGGGGCGCGGGCGAAGCCCGCGGCCCCCCGCCGCGGAGCGAGCACCGCCGCTCCAAGCTCGAAAAGAGAGCCTCTTGCGTCAGCCGGGAATCGAACCCGGGGCCAACCCAGACAACTCTCCCTTCGGAGGATGGCAAGGGCAGATTTTACCACTAAACCACTGACGCCGCTTAGATATGAACACTACGAAAGGAGAACACTCTCAAGCTTCTTCTGTTTTCGCGAGCCCTGGAAGTCGGGATGGTAGTTGAGATTGGCATCGTCCGCGGCGGGATCAAACTGGGCGTGCTTCGAGCCCCCAGGCAACCACTCATCCATCAGCTCAGCAGGGGTGCGGTGACCTTTGGTGCGCATCCGGTGGTTGTTCCAATCGCCCGCGAACTTGTCCAACATGCGCTGGATCCGCGGAAGGAACACAGTGTGCAATGCCTGGGCATTAACGGGATCACTCACGTCCAAGAGGTTGTCTGCCGTGAGATCTGCAAAGACCGGAGTGATCGCGTCGGTGATCTTCGCGCCCATGTGTCTCGCCACATCCTTTCGACTTTAACGTGGTGGGTCAACTTCCCCACACCCCGCGGCTCCCTGCACGCCTGGCGGACCCGCAGGCCTCTGCCAAACCCTCGGAGCCGCCGAATCTCGACCTTTTCTCTCGCTTGCCGGGCGTAGAGCTCCGTCCGAACATTTGGGAAGTCGCGAACCGCGAACCGCACCCCACCCCCCGCCGATCGTGCGCGCAGCGGCCAAGGCGCCGCAGCTCCTTCGCGCAATGTTGGACAGGGAGGACGCAGCGATTGCGGGGGCGCAAACTGGGATTGGAAGCGGGAACACGAGCGGGGACGGCGACGGTTCTGCCGGTACCCCGCCTGCCACTTCTCGCAAGAGGCGCGGGCGCCCGCCCAAGCACGGCGGTGCGTCGGCAACGAACGGCGATGGCACCTCGTCGGGGGGCCCGCCCAGGAAGCGGCGCGCAGAGGAGCCCGCGGACCCGTTCTGCAAGGTCGGCGCGTTCGGATACCACTACTGCGAGGATTGGCGGGAGATCGACAAGCAGAACGCGCAGGCGGTCGTGGACGAGCTGCATGAGGCTGCTGGCGAGGCGGGACCCGACGCGGAGAACAGATTGGCAGCCGCAAGGGCTCAGCTCGACATGGCGAAGGGCGGGCCGGGGACGGCCGAACGGGACCACGAGCTGGAGAAGGAATGGTGGCAGTTCTGCGAGTTCTTTGCTCAGAGAGGCAAGACCTTGCCGAAGCTCGGCGTTGCCGGTCCTTTGCCGAAGCATGTCATGGTTTTCTTCTCGTGGGTGGTCGAGCCTCTCAAACCGACATTCTCCTGATGCCTTGCCGCTGCAGAGAGTGCTACAGCGCGGCGGTGAACAACCCCACCGAGACTGTGAAGGATTTGGGTGTCTCCTCTTTCCGCACAGCGCGGTTTGGGTTGTCATTTGTGAGTATCACTTGAACTTTTGCTTTCTCCGATCTGACTCCATATTCCTTCCCAGGCTTGCCAGAAGGGCGGTCACATGGACGTTATCAACGTCGATGAGAAGCTCCACCGCTTTTTGGCCGACATGGAGAACCGGCTTACCACCGCCAAGCCGGAAGTCGAAGCAGGCCGAGCAGTTCGACTTTTTCTCCGACTTCGACACGCTTCGCGAGTGGAGCCTTGCGAAAGGCACGCTCGCGGCACTTCGTGCTTGGGTGCTTGGGTGCTTTTCCTGCTGAGGGTCGCGCTCTTCTTCGGGTGAGTGAGCGGTGTGCTGGTTGTGCTGCCGGTCGCGCCCTTCATTCTAACCACTGGGCCCGCGACAGGCGGCTGGATCCCACCAGGCTCGATGTCTCCGACGTTGCCGTCCCCATCGGGCCCCTGAAGGACGGAAGCCGCGGTCCTCTCATCGACGAGGACGGTATGGCGTGTCGCGGTACCTCTGGATTTACCTGTACAAGTCCAAGGGCGCCAAAGGCCCGGTCATCTTCAAGCTCAAGCGCAACTACCGCGACTTCAAGCTCTGCCCGGTCTACTGGCTAATGCTCTACCTTACCTTCAGCAAGGTCGAGTCGGGGCCGCTGTTCCCGAAGCTCTCCTCGGGCGGTGCGCCCTTGACCGAGCGGCTCTCTGCCGACGACGTGAGCAAGATCTTCAGCGAGGTACCGTCGTGCCCGTTTCCCTTCGAGTATGCTAACCACGATGGCCTGCAGATGATCAACGGCGCCTTCCCCGACGACAAGCGCAACTTCACCACCCATTCCCCCCGCCGATCGATGGCCAAGCTGGCTGTCATCCTCCTGGCACAAGAGCACGAGATCAAGGCGGCCGGACGATGGACGTCGGAGGTCTACAAGCCCTACATCGGCCTGGGGAAGATGCAGCTCGAGGACTACGTTCTCGAGTCAGTTGGTGACTCGGACGTCTTCAAGAACATCTGGGCACGGTGGAGGTGGTCGTGCCCGCGCCACCTGGGTAACGCAGCGTAGGTCGCCGCAAGGGCGATGATCGGGGAGCCGGGTGAGCGTTGGAATGGGGTGGAGTTGGAGCGCGAGGTAGAATTACGGAGTGCAACAACCATGTATTACAAACAGAGCTGTCTTTTCAAGATTTTCACCGATGAAGGAGTCGATTTCCCCCAACGTGGGGGCGGTGAGGGCGCCTCGCAGCGCCTGATTGGCGGACGAGTGAGTTGATTGTTTACGTCCGTACAGACACAACCCCGATTGCGGCCGGCCCCCTCGCTTGGCGATGTTCGTCGCGATGCCGAAGCGGAGCTGGCGCCGCTGGACCGGATGCACGCGCCGCGCGCGCCGCAGCGGCGGAACAAGTTTGTCGAGCACTCGATCGACACATTCGATAGGCATAAAGGTTGCGTGATTCTCTCTCTTCCGGTCTCTATTGCACGCGCTGACGGTCGGATTCCTTCCCACTAGTTCATAATGGGCTCGCGCACCTCGTTGGCCCCAGCGTGCCAGTCGTAGGCCGCGATAGCGAGCAGGAGCGCGTCGGCAAGGTTGGACTTGACCAGCTGTGACGCGGCGCGGTACATGGTGACCTGCTCCGAGGTAAAGACGATCTTGCGGAACCTCGACGGGGTGTTGATCGGCGCGTGGTAGGTCCACTCGCCGTCCTCCTCCCACCAAGCCGACATCAAGAGCTCGACCAGGGCCCTCGTGTTGGCCTTCTTCTCGACGGAAGATCTGCCGCCGATGTTGAATTGGGTGGCGAGGGTGCGTGTGTTCGAGTACCGAGCTTGAGCCCCTTTTGCCTTCAGGACGACGGGACGAGTTTCTTGATGTGCGGGAGCATGCAGAGCACTGTCGGGGACTGTCAGCTTCGAAAGGGAAATGGCGTCAACGAGGGAAGGCGTGCCTTGCGGATCGTCGAGGACGACGACGTCGGTCTCCATGAGCTCGCTGCGGAAGTACTTCTCAAAGTTGGTGCGACCCCAGCGCTCGTAAAAATCCTTATCTTGCTGCGTCAGCCGCTCGTGGCTCACCCCCTGGACCGTGTTGTGGAAGCGACGCTTCATGATGTCGTAGACCTTGGGATCAGGTTTCATCTGGAGACACGATTGCTCAGAGGCAGCCAATCCAGGGCGCACATCAGCGCGTGCCGCATGAGGGCCACGTCGCCGCCCTGCGCCGTCGAGTTGAACCAGGCGATCCTGATCTTAGCCGCACGGACCTCCTTGGCCATTCGAATGAGCGACGACCAAGTCTCGGGGGAGGACAGGTGCTCGTAGTCCTGCAGGTCCACTAGGTGGATCCTGAAAGCGGCGAATAAGATCTTGTTCAGGTTCGTAGTCGCCCCCGCTCACCTGGAGTTCAAGTCGACTTGTACAGAGTGCGTCGGCGTGAGCTGGATGCGCGGGATGTGTCCGATGGCCGATGCGGTGACGCTGCGGACGAGGTGATCAGCTGCGGATTCTAAGCAGAGTCAAGCTAGAGCCCACAATGTCAGCATCTTGCGGCAGGCGCTAGCGGCCCGCTCCTCCACAGTCTCTCCCTGCGTCTGAGCAACGATCGGGAGCACGTCGAGTTCCCTCCACAGCAAGCTCGGCAGCCGCATGGGGTAGTTGCAACCGCCCGCATGTCGACGACCTGTAGATCGCTCATCCTGCCAGGCTTCGACAGCGCGAGATGGTTGGAGTGCGTTGAGAAAGGATGAGCTCGGAGAGAGAAACCGCAGGCAAAAGTGTGGCCGGAGGCGAGCGAGTAGTGGTGCAGCCACGACAGGATGTGCGAAGTGGTTTGTGCGAGAAGAGACGAGAACGACGGGGCCGGATGAAGCGAGCCGTCCGAGTTGTCGTGTCGTGCCCGACGCCGGTGAGGGGAACTAGCTCGACAAGGTAATCGATCGCAAAGTTGTATACATGTTTACGCCGAATTGCGAGTTCTTCCAGCTCCATCACATCCACCATGGCAGGGCCGCACCCGGACTCCGCACCTCCGGGACATCCTCAGCCGGCTCAGCCTGCCGCCGGGGCGAGTGGGGCCTCGCAGAGCGAAGCAGCGCCGTACGCCGGCCCCACCGTGTGTCCCCACGCCTCCCTCGCCCCGCCTTGCGTGAGTTTCGAGGACGACAAGGATCCTTTGCGGCTTTTCATATGCTCCACTACCAGTACAACGCTGCCGATTTCGACGACGACGTCGACGACGAGGAGGACGAAGTCGGCACCGGGAACGGGGCGAACTGAGGATTTCCGGGAGGTTCGCGCTGACGCCAAGCGAACCCCTCCGATTGCTCACGACGTTCCAGCTATATAGATCTTCGATTCAATGAGCTCCAGTCAACTCGGTCCTGTGCTGTCCCGCGCGTCGCGTGGACGCAATCGGATTGATACCACTTCTTTTGGGCAGCGAAGGAGTCGATTCTTCTACAAGCCTCCATTTTTCTACAGGCCCGTGCTCGTCCTCGGACGACGGTAAAGATCGCCCCGTTTCCTGTCCGAGGTGCGGCCCGTTCTGATCTGCGCGTCCCCTTCGATGCCTGTGCCCCGCTCCTACTCGGTCGCCCGCTGATACAGGAACGCGGCATCGACGACGACGGCAGGGCCAGTCGGGTAGTGGCCGTAGCATGGGCTCCCGAACGCCGCATGGGGGCACCTCGTGTGTCCGGTGTACGTGTCCTTCTCGGCCTCAGGGATGAGCGATCCATCGGCCTTGCGCCACAT